TTGGAGCCCAGCAGGTCAAGGTTGCGGTGGCCGGGAGCGGCCACTGCACTCCAGTCTGGGTGACCGAGTGAGACTCCAACTGAAAAAAAAAAAAAAGAAGGAACTGTTGAAGCTTGAGAATGGTTGCTTCTATCCATCCATCCATCCATTCACCCATCCATCCAATAGGTCTTTATTTAATTTATGTCTTGTAGGCACAGTACTAAATTCTGTTTGTACAGAATGAACATTTGATAGTGCCCTGAAGCAGAGACAAATATTTAAAAAGTAATCACATGAATAAATATTTAAGTTAAATTGTGTTGTGTTTATGGGTTATTTCAAAAATAAGGCACTATGATAGGGAATAATGAGAGCCCTATTTCAGGAGATGTCATTGATGAAAGGATAGAAATGATCCCAGGATAATGAACAGCTGGAGATTTGAACCTGTGCCTCCTACTGTCTCCTGAACAAGTTGACAACCTCAGCCCACCAGTTCTGGTCCTTCTTGACTTCGGCCTTATAAACTAACATCCATTGTGTTTCTGCAATGATATCCCCAATGTCCAGTTCTACCCTGGAGAAGGCATTGGATTAGTACAAATTTTTGTCCTCTACATGCAGAAACTCAGGCCTGGGCAGGAGGTTGTTACTTGTCCACAGTCGCATGGCAGGTTGGGACTAGAACCAGGACTCCTAAGTCTGGGTCAGTGTTCCTCCCTTACACTCTGTGACTCATAGCTCATACACTAACCCCTCTGGCTCTGACTCCGTCCCAAAGAAATAATGACGAGAGGCTAATGTCTGTTACAAAAACATCTCTAGAGAAATTCTTTTTAAGGCAGCCCTACGATTATAAGAAAACTTGGTCCTTAGTTGGGGACCCCTAATCTGCTCTGAGGTCTCTCCAGGATTCCTCCATTAAAAAATACTAAAAACAGGGAACCCCTTCAGGTTCTCTCCCATTGTGGAAGCTTCTCTATCCTCTCAATAAATCCTGCTTTCTCACTTAAAAAAAATACTAAAAACAAGAAATAGAATGAGCCATTACAGGGCATACCAGAGAGGACACTGTCAGAATGACAATAACTTGGCTCAGTTTACTGTGCTTATATCTGACTGGCTTGACTTTCAGGTTGCCCCTCAATGAAGGAACATATTTCTAGATTATTTCTGACTCATCTATGGGCCTTTTGCTAGCACAGCACATAACTAGTGGGACTTTAACCCAGATCTTTTGACTTCAAGCCCGGTGCTTTTCAACTCCAACAAGTGAAGTTAGTAACAAATTCTGTATGGGATGCATGAAGGTTACAAAAATGGCAAATGTTTCAAATGGTGATTTCCCATGGGCAGACAGAGTGAGGCAGATGGTCACTAATTTATTCAACAAACATTTGCTGAATGCCAGCAAGTCAAGCCCTGTGGATTTTTCTGGTGAAGAAGACAAATTCAAGTTCCACCCTCATGAAGCTAATAATTGTTCAGGAAATTTATCTAATAAATACATACATAACTACCCAGACAATGATGAGTGGGTTTATACTGGGAGAATTGGCCTAGATGGGGGGAAGGGCATTATAGTACCTATGATCTGCTCTCTCAAACCAGGGCCTATTTCAGTCCAACCCATCTCAAAGAACAATACCACCCCTACCCCCCCACTCTACCCAGAGTAGAAGTCAATAACCAGGGAATTCTCATACGCCTTCATTCCCTATTGCCAGTACTTCGACAAATCCCCTTAGTTTTACTCCTAACGATCTTCTGGAATGTTGTATCTCTCTCTATCTTCATTGGCACTGTCTCCACTAGCACCATCATGTTTTGATAGGACCACTGTACCAACTCCTGCCAGGTCTGCTCCCAGCCACTTTGCAGTTCATTCTATACAATGAAGCCACAGAGAGATTCTGAAAGGAAAACTCAGTTTTGCCACCCTTTACCCCAACCTCTATTCCTCTACCTTTTAA